TTAAATCATACGAGAGGAACGCAGCGAAGTCGTGAACGCGTTACGTGGAAATCGTACGATGTTTTTTTTTTTTTTATTTCACGTGAGATCTCGTGCGATTATGCGCAATGTGAAAAATTTCACGCACGCGATAACGACATAGTCGCCTGTTTGTTATCGCGAGATTATGCGCAGCATTAATTTCGATGAATTTTTTACGCAACTTGGCTATTTATCTCAACAGATCGAATTTCAGATTCATTATGTTCAGAAGATACCATAAAAATTGAGCGATCATTTTATCGACAAATAAATTATTACTTGAATACAAATATATATGTCATTTTGTAAAATGAAATCAAAATATTCTGTTTATTTAAATATTAAATTTAATTCCGTTTATTTAATTTTGATTTTCTTATTCTGAAATATTTTAATTTAAAATATATATTCCGAAGTAATAAACATATTTATTAATATTATATATTAATATATATATATTTAATTTATATTTATAATTTTAACTGATATATATAACTTATATTTATTTATTTGTGTGCATATTAAGTAAATTACATGAATGAATTTAACGAAACAGAAATTGTTTTATAGGAATTTTAATATGCAAGAAAAATTGTTATTTATTGATTATTATTCATGATTTTTATTGCTTTGACGATTAATTCTTTACAGTTCATGGCTAGATTAGTAAGATTAGCAAATAAATAATAATTAAAAATAGAACTAAAGTAAAAAAAAGATTTCTGATACATATTACGCATTTTAAAAATAAATTTCGCAACATATTTTTTTTAGAAAAAAGAGTTTATGATAAATTTTTATTATTTCTTCTACGAATTTGGAAGAGAATGCTTTTCTTTATAAATTTCACAAAAGAAAATTGATTTTTGCTGTAATTTGTTGTAATGTAACTTGTCGAAAATGTTTTTTTATGCTCCGGTCCTTTCAATTTTCAATTATTATTTTTTTGCTAATCTTACTGATTTAGCTGATGATGCTTAAAAGATTAATATGCAATTATCTCGCATATTTTCATAAAAAATTATTATTTTGAATTATGAAAAACTATGATAAGATTTTAAAAGTTGTAATATTAAGAATATGGCATTAAAAATGAACAAATAACGAATTTCCTTTTCTTTTATGTTGTTATGAAATTAACATCTCGAAATCGGAGAATGGTTTAGATGTTCCAGATTTTGACGTAGCTTTATTTATAAAGTGTTTCGTCGTCGCGAGTACAATCCATTCCAGGTCTTGAAAAGTAGGTTCGCGTCATTAACTTAAGACCTGAGGCACACATAACGAAATACATATTGCACAAATGTAATTATGTTTCTATACTCCCCTTTGTTTATGACGATTTACGTAAGAACGAGTAAATGAGTGTTATGATGCGATTTGTATAAATATTTTAAATTCAATTCATAAGCTTAAAATTATCAACTTATTCTTATCTTCTATTTTGTGAGACGATCATCAATTATCATTAATCCCGCGTTATAATTACTGGCCTCTATTTCTTTTTTGTGTAACAAATGTAATATAATATAATACAGTGTAATATATCGTAATTATATTGCAATATGATATAATATATGATAAATATATTATAGCAGATAAAAAAAAGAAAATATATAAATATAATGCTTAATTTAAATTTACTTTACTTTTATTACATCACGATTCTTATATTTTATGTGCATTTCAAATGAGACTGCAAACATTTAAATTTCAAAGTTCTTCCAAATGTTCTACAATGTTCCGATATCATGCTTTCAACTGCTGTCAATTGTGTACAAGATTTTTAAAGAATTGTAATCTAAAGCATAATGCTATATATATTTTAAACATTCCTCAAAAAAAACGTTTGCATCGAAAAAATATTGGAGATATAATGGCGTGTGTAATTTTATTAATTGATCATGCGAATACGCAAAAAATATATCTTGTTCGATTAATAAACCCGATTGCACATTGTTGATTAAATAAATTTCGCTGCCGCAGCGAAAAGGTAGTATCGTCATTTTATTTGACAAACAATTGTTCATTGAGAGGAAATCTTTTTTGCTTTAGTCAGTAATTAATACATCGAATCGATCTAGAAATTAGTGCTCTTACTAATTTGACAAGAAGAATAAAATAAGAGTTGGAAAGGGCGAGATGTGTTAAAATAAAAAAATCGAACTTAAGAAATAAGAAACTAATTGTATAAAATTGCTTTAAAAATTAAGCAATTAAGTATCATAATCTTCGAGTAGTAAATGATTTCGCGGAGTTCTTGTTGCACCTTTAATTGCAAGAGATCGAGCAAGAATTAGTCTCTTTAAGGTCGCGCGATAACGAAGTCGATTACGATTAATTGAAAGCTCGTCCTTGAAAGTAGAAGAGCAAACAGAATTATTACATTGTGATGATGCCATTCAAGAGAATCGTGTACTCACTGGCACTCATAAGTCGACTCATAACAGTTCATTGATTTGCTAGTCATCGTTGTCATGAGACGTAACCAGGCATATTACTAGGCATCTTCGCGCAACATGATTTATGCGTGCATAATTTTTTTACGCGTGCGTATAATAAAAAAGAAACAAACAAAAAATGTTTTTCTTCACTATCTAATAATAACACGTAATTGTCCATCGATAATATAATATTAATTATTATTATATTATTATTTTAGCAATTTGCGAAAATCTATTTTCTGTCCCTATTTATTATTATTATTTATATATTGCAATTTATGCGAATTGTATAATTGTCCTTTTTTGCATTTATTGTTTTCACATACTTTTTACTTTATTATGCACATTCCTGGCCGTCTTTCATACAAATTACTTACAATTGCAATGCCGCGTGGTTGTTGTTCCGCTCTTCCGCTTGGATTAGTCCGCAGATGCTTTCTTGATTTTCATATTTGACGGTGTTTACGACGGTCGCTGAAGTTTTCTCTGTGAAGGCAGTGTTTGCAAAAGGTTTAGCTAACTCTAGCAGCGTATATTATATACATATTATATACATATATACAGCATATATTATATACATTGTTGATACGCGAGGATAAGACTGAGTCATCATCCTGTCAGTGTGTGTCATGCATCCTTCACACACTTGCGTAAATGTAATCTATTTTAATTTTAATTGCGTGAACGTAAAATACTCGAGCAATAAGAAAAAGAAATATCACGCGAGAAAAATAGACGATTTTGTAATTAGATTCGATCGTTAAAAGATCTTGTCATTACATTTCGTTAAACTAAAAAAAAGTTTAATGCGACTATCAAAGTTTGATAAGAACTCGGAAATCGGCAGAAAAAATATGCAGATGCACACAAAACTAAAATAGAAAAAGATAATATATTTCGTTTGTAAAAAGCTAATCTTATGCAAAAATCGTATGCCAAAAACAGCATGTTACCATTTAAATGTTATCGATAAAAATACTTTTGAGAAAATAATCTTCACTATATCAGAGATTAGACATGTTAAACATGTATAATAATGTAAAAGCATTATATTCACATTTGTTATCTTGATTAATTAATTACCGAGCTAAATGTCGAAAAAAGCATTTCTATTTCTTGAGAAGTTTTATCGTCACTTCAGTACTTAATTATCACCTAATGATACCGCTAAATCTACGTATTTTACATATATATGAATAAGTGGAAAAATTGTCGACAAAATACATCTTTTGAGAATTTACCGATTTACATAGTTTCGAATATCATCTGAAGTTCCTTCGAATAATCTCCCACCAATGCTTTGTTGATTCAAATGTGACATAAAAAAATTGAATATTTTTTTTTTTACAGAAAAGAATTGGTAGGAAATTTTTCTATCGATGGCATCTCGATAGTCGAGGGCACTTTACGATTGTTTTGTAAGCATTTACATTTTCCTGACTGCACGCGGTATGCGCATGCAAGCCATATCCGACGTTCAGTCGAGGTCTCGCTGGTGAAGCGACGAGATTGTCGAGGGAGATCGGCAAAGACCTGCTGGCACCGATAGTCAGTCAATCGCGTGATTCTTTTAGTGTCTTTTCCGTGCTCAAATTGTTCGTAAACCATAAGAGCCATGAGTACTTCATTGAGTAAGTTCAAATACGGCAATTATGCTTACATGTTGCATTTCCGTTTTTTAAAAAGTGAGAGCTTTAAATCGCTGTATCATTAACTGCGCTGTATCAGCTGTGTTGATCGAGGTATCATGGTACTTCTTATTCAGCGATAAATTATCTTTAACAAAACTCATCTTTCTTTTTTTTTATAAATGCTAGAAGCCAGTGATTTTAAACTTTCATGATTTCTTTTTTTAATTTAAAAAATATGATAATTTGAAGATAAATATTAATTAATTGGTAATGGAAATTATCTGGATTTATAGTCATATTATTAATAATAATGATGATATTGAATATTCTGTAATTTTGTTTAATTAAATATATGAAAAAATAAATATATAATAATATCATTGAAAATTTTGCACTATTAATATATATTAAATAAAGAAATACATAGAGATATTTTGTTTCTCGATATGAAAGATGTTAATACTTACATTATGCATCTGTCGTGCATTTAACTCTTTTCATTTTTTATTTCTTTTTTATGTATCAATATTAAATTTGAAATTTTAAGTCATACTTTTATATAGTGCAAATGAAAAATGTTGCAAAAGAGGATGACATAATGAGAATATGACATACGTAATGATTTTCTTAAAAAGTGATTGAAAATTATTCTAACTTAAATAATTTGTTTTAAAATCTAAAAAATCTTGCAGTTATATTTGAAAATTACACACAGACGTCAGAATAAATTTTTTTTATACATGTTAAAAAAATCATCAGATGTCAAAAGAGTTTTATGTTCGCATACATATGAAAGATGTGATAGTCGAAAATGTAAACGGCGATTTTCGAGGTCATGAGGATGTAAACATGAAAAGATGAAGATGAACTCTTATTAAAGTTTCTCACAGAATGTATGTTGGATAGTGTTGGATAGTGAGATTGCGCAGGAAATTTCACCCTGAATCTGTGGAAAAATGTAAAGATTTATATAGTTTAAAATATATATTTGGAATATATGGA